AGCAGCCAAAGGAAGTGTCCCTCCACATGCTGAACATGGTGAGAATGCTAAGTCTGCCAAAGAGCACTCAGGATGGTCTCAACCTCCTAAAAAGCACAAGGAGAAAAGGAAGCACCTTGAGACCAAAGGAACTGCTAAAGAAAAGCGTACCAGAAAGGAGAAGACAGACAAGAAAAAGAAATGGCATTCTCATTCACCACAGAAGGAAGTTCCATACCAATCTGAAATGGAACAGGGCATGAAGATACTGAGAAGCCTTCATTCTGTCCTCCTTCATCATGGATGACACCAAGACCATCTCCTTGCTGCATGCTGAGCCTGTCGCCGAGACCCTCTCCACAGCCTTGCTTCAGCCCTGCTGAGACTCAAGCACCAGAACGGACAGTTAGAACTTCCATCTCGGAGGGAGAGATTTGGGAGTCTCCCATGCACTCCCCGGTACCATCTGACTGATCGCTACACACAGTTCAAGAGCACCAGGAGCTGATACACCCTCCTACTCCAACTTTGTATGGGCATCTATCACCAGATTTGTTCTGAAGAGCACCTCCTCCATTCAAACCTGAGTTCCCTCAGTATGGAAGGAGCCAATACTGCCTCCTCCATTCGCAGCCTATGGACATGGATATCCGTGGGAATACCTCCCACCCTATGGATTCCCTTATCCACCACTTCCTCCACGCCGGCAGACATACCATCCACATCTCAGGAAGAAACAACTACCACAGCTCAAGCAATGGAGTAATGATGAATGGCACGTTCTTCATCCTTGAGCATGGCTCACCTCTCTGAATCAGATTCAGAAGATACAGAGCAGGCATCTACCTCACCTGACTTTATGGTCTTGACTCAGGGCCCAGAATAACTGGAGAGAGAATGGGACGCTTCTCCAAACTACAGGTCCGCTTTTCAACCTCCTTAGGAATCAACATCCAACAGCAAATGGATGCAGAACAGGATAACATTATAGATGTTATCAGGTGAAGGATGCGGTTCCAGTGGCCCTGCCGTTGACCCCTTCCAACCTGTGCTACGGGAATACCCCATGGGGCTCCAGTCTTTCCAATGGAGACCAAGCCGTTCTTGCCATACCGACATGCCTCGGTACCAGGTAGCGTGTTGATATGGACAAATGCCAGCGCTGATGGCTGCATGAACCAGTCCTTTGTCAAACTCACCTCTCCCATTTGGGGATTGACTTCAACTTCATCTCCCATTTCAGAGTCCATCACAACAGCACCCCATTTTATGCATTTCCTCCAATACCATTAATAATGAGGTCGCTAATGAATATTGGATGGGACAACACCACCAGCATACTGATCACTCCGTGGTGGCCTCACCCAGGCCTGGTTTTCAACTCTGCTTCAGCTTTCCCAAGGGATGTATATTCACCTGCCAGAAATTCCAGATGTGCTCACTCAACAACAGAGCAGGATCTGACATCCAGACTTGCACACACTGAAATTAACAGCATGGCTAACGCACTAACCTTGGTACCAATGTTGTGTTTGGTACCGACAACCCTGCATCCAGACATTCAATGCATTTTACATTTAGCCCTACACCCAAATCCTCAACGACAGTATGGCTCAAAATGGAAATGCTTCACATACTTTGCAATCAGTAACAACTTCTTGCCAGAATCTGCAACCATCAAGAATATTCTACAGTTCCTTCTTTCGCTGTATCAAGGGGGCTTGAAACTCTTGTCCATCAAGGTATACTTCATATATTGTACCATAGAGGACATATAGAGGGTTTGTCCTTGTTCTCACACCCACTAACATGTCGGTTCCTACAAGCACTCCAAAAGCAACACCCTCCGATCAAATTGATTGAACCGACATGGGGTCTGTCAGTAGTCCTGTCAGTAGTCCTTAACAAAACCTCCCCTCTAACCATTAGTCTCCACTGATTTAAGGTTGCTGTCATGGAAAACAGCCTTCCTGGTGGCTATAACTTCAGCTAGGAAGGCAAGTGAACTATGCGACCTTTGGGTTGACCCCTCCATATTTGAATTGCCATAAGGAAAAGGTGGTCCTCTGTATGGACCCAACCTTCCTCCCAAAGGTGGCAACAACATTCCATCTTAACCAAGATATCGTGTTACCGGCATATTTCCCAGCACCATCAACACCAATTGAACAATCACTCCACAGTCTTGATGTCAAACGAACACTTGACTTTTACTGATTTCGAACCGAACCATTCCAGAAAGCCAAGCGACTGTTTACTCTGAATATGACACGGAAACGCTTGACAAAATGCATAGTTGTAACCATACAGCTTTCATACCAACTTGCTAAATTGGACTTGCCAATCCTTCCAAAAGGCCATTCGACCAGAGCTGTGTCCACCTCATCAGCCGTACATGCAGGCTTACCTGTACAAGACTTATGCAAAGCTGCACCTTTATCAGACTTTACTATCTTGACATAAAGGCTAAAATGGACTGCTCTTTTGGCTGTTCCGTCCTTTTGACTGTCCTTCAATGGCAACACCATCCCACCTCCGAGTTCAGTAAGCTTGCTGGTCACCCTTATGTGTGATGCACAGCGACGACAATGAAGAAAGACAGGTTGCTTACCCGTCACTGTCATTCTTCAAGTGGTCATCTCTGCATTCACACAGCCCACCCACTGGCCCCACATCAGTGTCGGTGAATGAATTCATGTGATACAATCTGTTTCGGTCATGTCTATCATGTATTATTGCTTTATCATGTTGGTACCAGTTGGGGTGAATGACTGGTCTCCAGCTAGACTGGCAATGGAGTGGGGACCCCGCCCACTTATATGAGGGGTGGGGGAGCAGAGTTCCCACCAAAAATGTTACTAGCTGAGAGAATCTTCCCGAATACAGGCACTGCACAGATGCAGCACCCATATGTGTGAATGCATAGATGACCACTTGAAGAACCACAGTTACAGGTAAGCAACCTGCCTGTCCCAGTCCAGCACTTTTAACTGCTAGATCACTCCGGCTCTCATTACTCCATTTTCAAATGCAGAAAAGTCCCAAGTGGTGCTTAAAACAGCATGTAAATTAAAGTAAAGGTAGATTTCAGTGGAGCATTGCATAGAACATATTTTCTGTCACTTTAATAGAAATATTAATTAGCCAATTTAGTTACTAGCAGCCCCTTGCTTGCTAGATTTCAACGGCCGATTCCAGAAGGTGGTGCTGGGGGATATGGCTCTGTGCCATGGCAGCTTTGCCATGGAGTACCACAGGGGTCCATTTTGTCCCCCTTGCTATTCAACATCTACATGAAACCGCTGGCAGAGGTCATCAGGAGGTGTGGGCTGTGGAATCATCAGTACGCTGATGATACCCAGCTCTACCTCTCATTTTCCACCAATCCAGGTGAGGCAGTGGCTGTGCTGAACCGGTGCCTGGCCGAGGTAATGGGCTGGATGAGGGCCAGTAAACTGAAGCTCAATCCAGACAAGACGGAGGTCCTGTTGGTGGGTGGTTTAGGCTTTGGGGTGGGGGACTTGGGCCTTGTCCTAAATGGGGTCGCACTCCCTCTGAGGGACAGGTTTCGCAGCTTAGGAGTGCTCCTCGACCCTGAGCTGTCTTTAGAAGCCCAGGTGACAGTGGTGGTGAGGAGCGCTTTCCTTCAGCTTCGACTGATCCATCAGCTGCGTCCCTTCCTGGAGAATGATTGCCTGGTGACAGTGACACACGCGTTGGTAACTTCCCGATTAGATTTCTGCAACATGCTCTACGTGGGGCTACCCTTGAAGTCGGTCCGGATACTTCAATTGGTGCAGAATAGAACTGCCAGGCTGCTGATGAGGACTGGGCGTTGTTCTCATATAACCCCAGTTCTCTGTCAGCTCCACTGGCTCCCGATTGAAGTCCGGGCCCAATTCAAGGTGTTGGTTATGACCTATAAAGCCCTCAACAGCTTGGGCCCTGGGTATCTAAAGGAACGCTTGCATCCATATATGCCCTCCCGCCCCTTGAGATCAGCAACAGATGCCCTTCTCCGGGAACCCTCTGTGAATGATATTAGGAGGGTGAGTACCCAGAGGAGGGCCTTCTCTGCGGTGGGGCCCCGCCTATGGAATGTGCTCCCCAGAGAGGTCCGCCTGGCGCCATCGTTATTTGTTTTTCGGCACCAGGCTAAGACCTTTTTATTTAAAACTTATTTTAAGTGTTAATTTATTGTGTAGGATTTTAAAAAATTTTAAGCCGAGATGCACCGGGTTTTAATATTTTTGTTTTTGTATAATTTTGTATATTTTTGTTTTAGTTGTAAGCCGCCCCGAGGCTTTGTTGCGATGGGGGTGGCAGAAAAATGTTTTAAATAAATAAATAAATGCATAGATGCAAACATGTTAAAGCCCCTCTTCCCATGAGCCACATAGGGTAGTTTGAGGCTTCCCAAGTTGGGGAGATTTTTTTCATGTCTCCAGATACTCACATTTTATTCCACCACTGTAGCCCCCTATCACTTGGAAGGGGCTTGGAGGGGAGTCTAGCACAACCTTGGGTGAAACAGGTGTGGAACACAAATGTTTTGTGTGTGTCCAGAGCAGAATCCCACAGTTTCAAGGCAGTGCAAGGGCAGAGGCCAGTACAATTGTCTGCTCAGCAAAGCCCTTCTATTTCTAAAAGGTGGCTGAGTAAAGAAAGGTGGACTTTGCTCCTTTCCCCCTCTAGCAGCTAGATCAAGTCACCCCCTCTCCCCACTGCTAGCTGCTATGGAGGCTGTGTTCCTGTGACCCACTGCCCATTGTAGCGTCTCTAAGATACACCTGATTTAAAAGCTCCAGTCAGAGGTAGAGAAAACAACAGGTTTTCTAGACCATGTGACCTGCTATCCTTGCCAGAGCTTCCTATATTCCCCACTCCGTCAGCAAGCACCACTGAGTGCCACTGAACAATATTTTGGTGTCCTGGGAAAGCTATACTGTTCAATATGTCCAGCATTTCCTGTGGTGAATTTTAGTCCACTGTGCTCAGTTGTTTCTGTATTTTTTTTCTAGATGGTGCTTTTTTGGACCTGTGAGAAGTACCCCCACTCCAAAGATTGGTGCTGTTTCTACACAGGCTTCCTACGGATAGTCAGAAAGTTGCACAAATGTGTGAGCCAGCACTTCCTGAAGCACTTCTTCATCCAGGGCACCAACTTGCTGAAGTACGCCAACACCAATGACCTGGACACGGTGGCAGGCAAACTGGCTGTCTTCTTAGAGAATCCGATGATTCCCCTAGACTGAGATGTGTGGAAGAGAAGGTTTCTGAGGCAGGCTCTCCCCTCTTCCATGCAGTTATCCCTTCAGATGATGACCAGGAGGCAAACAGACAGCAAATATACCATAGAGGCAAAGAGACAGCATGTGGGAACAGGTTCTTTTGTTCTCTGCCTCCCTACGATGCATGCATCTAGGTCACACCTCTTTGCTTGGCTCTAGTCCCTTTCAGGTGTCCCAGAAGAGAAAAGGTTTGTTTTGGGCAATGGAGAGTAGGTGGGCTCTGAGCCCTTTTATTTTTTGCAAGCTTAATGGGTCACGAGCTCAAAGCAGTTTTCCCGATCTGGAGCTAGGAATAATCAAGCAATAGTAAGTACAGTTGCGGTTTAGATCATTTTTCATCATCAACAGCACAGGTTTATGAAGAACTGATGCACAATAATTTAATATGAGTTGTTTGGAAACACCTTGAGAAGCATCTGATTTGGCATGTATGGGGATGCATGTCAAAAGTCTGTATCTGTTTGTCAGTGAATCATAACTTTTATTTTAGTTGCCAAGACTTTTGCTTCCTACTGGTCTTGCCCCTTCTATACCTCTTCATGGTGCAATTTAGGCCATAGACTTACATAGAAAGATAGAAACAGAGAGAGTCAGAAGGGGTCTCCCAGCCCATCTAGTCTGACCCCAAGCTACAACAAGCTCCGCTCATGACATGCCTACCATGTGCATGTCCAGCTTATCCTTGAACACCCTCAAAGATGGGGTTTCAATCACCTCCTGTGGAAGCCCATTTCATACCCTCAGGGTCCTTACTGTCAGGAAGTGCTTTCTGGCATCCAAATTGAACCTTGGTTCCCTGACCTTTGCTCCATTGGAACACATCTACCCACCTCTGTGTGACACCCCCTCATGTGCCTATATGTCATCAACAGGTCCCCTCAGAGTCTCCTCTTCTCCAGGCTGAAAAGACCCAGTTCCCTCAGTCTCACCTCATATGGCTTTCCCTATAATCAGGCCACCATCCTTGCAGCCCTATGCTCAAGTGGTAGTAATACCCCTGTCCAGTGCTTTTTTTGTAAAAAAAATAAAATAAATAAGGTGCCGGAACTCACGTTGCCGCCAGCAGTAAGCACACACACCAATCCCAAGCCGAGCAGCGGAGCAGCATCTGGAGCAGCTATCTCTCACTATCAGATAGCAGATTGCAGACACAATAGCAGCCTGCTGGCACTATGTTAATGATGTTTGCTGCTGATCTGCTACGCCAAAATCACTTCGTAAAATCCATAGAAAAAAAGGTGCCGTTCCGCCGTTCCGGTGCGTTCCATGCCAAAAAAAAGCCCTGCCCCTTTCAATCTAGAAGCCACACTTCTGGCTATGCAACCAAGGGTGGCAATTGCCCTCTGACTCATGTTTAGCCTGCAGTTGACCAGTACCCCAAGGTCCCTTTCACAGGTGCTGCTATCCAGCCACTTGTCCCCTAACCTGTACTTAAGACACACATTCCTATGCCCCAGGTGCAATACCTTGTACTTATCCTCATTGAACACCATCCTATTGTCCTCTGCCCACTTCCACAGTCTGTCCAGATCATCCTGGATCCAGAGTACCTGCTCCTCAGTTGTGGCCACTGCCACCATTTTAGTTTTGTCTGTGAATATGATCAGCAGACTGGTCACCGCCTCTTCCAGGTCATTAATGAAAAGACTGAACAGGTTCTGTCCCAGCACAGAGCCCTGGGGGACCCCGAAAATCACCAGCCTCCATCCTGATGATTCCCCCACTAATAGTTACCCTCTGCTTTTGTTCTGTCAACTATGCCCTAATCCATAGGACAGTGCATTGGTCTATCCCAAAACTCTTCAATTTCTCAAGCAAGATATCATGTGGTACTTTGTCAGAGGCCTTGCTGAAGTCCAGGTAAACCACATCTATCATGTCCTCTTACATACCTGCTAGGGTTACTTCTCATGTTGTTTTTTAGGCAGAAATTTACATTCATGCCTGAATGCCCAAGAATAAACCATAGTGGTGGTGTTCTAAGGAACACAGCTGGCTTTGTGACAGAGAAGGCTCCTTTCCAAACCCACAATGCATGAGCCTGACTGAGGCTCAGATTGTTCCAGCCTTCCAACTGCATTCACAGGAAGAAAGTTGCGTAGCTAGTGTCTGAAATATGGCATGTGAAGAAGTCCTCGGGACAGCTGCCTCACGTGGGCAGGGGGCATGAATACAGGCTGCCTCTGCTTGCTGCTTCTGCAGTGCCATGTTCCCAGCCACACCACCATGATGTTCAGAAATTATCCTCACTGGCAGGGGAACAAGACAATATTTTTCGGTAGAGCAGTTAGCCTTCCATCCTTAATAGTCACGTTATTTGCCTGCTGGAGCATATTTCAATCGTTCGCAGTGCCAACAGATGCACCACTTATTCCCATTTTCATAAGAAGTAGCTGTGAATAAACACCTGTTGCAAAAACCAGCACTTGTTTCTGGTGTCCCCATCCCAATAAGACACAGCAGCTGAGATTTCTGTGAGCAAACAACAGGAGCAAAATCTTTATTCCAGAAATAAAGGGAACATCAGCAAGGAAAGAGCCAAAAGGTTCACCTGGAACATGAGCAAGCCAAAGTCTTTGTTCCCAGAACAAAGGAAATCATCCTTTTTTATGCATATGTGACAAAAATCAACTCAGATAATGTTTTTCCTAGAGGGATGAAACCTTTTGGACAACTTTTGCCACCTCAGCAGCTGGTTGGCTCTTAGGCTTAGGCCATATGCTGACACACCTAAGAAGGAGACCCCAGGGGCAGTGTGCCTACAATCCCGTACACACAGAGATGTGTTTCTGCCAGGAAAGAGCAGAATGAAATGTCAGCGTGTGATGAGTGACGTCCACACGGGGGATGCTCTTGTACTGTGACAGAACAGAATGTCATTAAGATAAGGCTAGAAGCATTGCTGGAGTTTTTTGTGGACAATTTGTAGAATTTGCTTATACAAACACCAGTCCCACAATTCTGCTCTGTGGTTCATGTGTAGTACAGCTCAAGTCAGAATAAACTGCTTCTGTTCCACCTACCTACAGCTCGTCCTCCTAGTTCTCCCACCGATGCTCATTCATCACCAATCCTAACCTACAAGTTCAATCATGTGGTACACTGAAAAGCTGCAGGGCCCTCTCACATAAAGCCGCAGTATCACCAGTCACAGAACTGCTTTCTACAGTTATTACTGGCTGCCTGGAAATAATAATAAGGGATGAGTTTTATCTGTGCAAGTGTCTTCTGGGCACTCAGCATGCCGGTATCTTTCAGAAGATTTCAGATCAAACTCTGCCCCACATGCACGAGGAAGAGAAATGCCATTTCAGTATTGTGTGCAATGCCAGCCACAGAAACTGTGGCAAGCCAAATGGATGGCACGGGTGCTGCTGCAGCTGTTGCACCTCAGAGGGCCAGACCACTTTCATTTTATGGAATTCCCCTTGGTTATGAACACCCGGGGTTCCCATAGCACTCTTCTTTGTTCTTACGTATATAGAGCGTAAATACTGCTGTAGCAGTAGCGGCAGCATGCATCCCTTGAGCAGGGGTGGGCCACTTGCAGCCTGAAAATTGTACTCTGGCCTAAAAGTCTTCCCTAGACAGGAGAGGCAATGGAGAGAGCCCATGGGGGGTGGAGCCAAAGCATCTTGACAGCCTCAAGTAAGAAACATAGAAAACAAATGAGTCAGAAGGGGCCTCCCAGGCCATTTAGTCTGACCCCAGCTCCACTCATGACATGCCTACCATGTTTATATTCAGCATATTCTTGAACACCCTCACCGATGGGACTTCAACCACCTCCTGTGAAAACCCATTCCATATGCTCGGGGTCCTTAATGTCAGGAAACACTTCCTGGCATCCAAACTGAACCTTGGTTCCCTGAGCTGTGCTCCATCGGAATGCGGCTGCCCTTGCCTGCAGGGGAAAACAGGTCTCTGACTACCTCCACATGAAACCCTCTTATGTATCTGTATGTCACCAACAGATCCCCTCAGAGTCTCAAGGCTGAAAAGACCCATTTCCCTCACGCTCGCCTCATGAGGCTTCCCTTGCTATCTGGTCGCCATCCTTGTGGCCCTACACTGCACTGATTCCAGCCTGGCTATATCCTTCCAGTACTGTGGAGTCCAAAACTGAACCCAATACTCCAGCGGTGGGTGCACCAGAGTTGGATAGAGTGGCAGTCATATCTCTCGCGATCTAAAAGCCATGCTTCTGGCTATGCAACCAAGGGTGGCGTTTGGCCTCTCTACCACTGCATCACACTGCTGACTCACATTTAGCCTCCAGACAACCAGAACCCTGCTGCTCTCCAGCCACTTGTCCCCTAACCTGTAGTTATGACACCCATTCCTATGCCCCAGGTGCAAGACCCTGCACTTCTCCACATTGAACACCGTCCTATTGTCCTCTGCCTACATCCAAAGTGGGTCCAGATCCTTCTGGATCCAGAATACCTGCTTGTCAGTTGTGGCCAGTGCCCCTGTTTTAGTATCGTCTGCGTTGTTCTCATATAACCCCAGTTCTCCGTCAGCTCCACTGGCTCCCGATTGAAATCTGGGCCCAATTCAAGGTGTTGGTTATGACCTATAAAGCCCTCAACGGCTTGGGCCCTGGGTATCTAAAGAAACACTTGGGTCCATATATGCCCTCCCGCCCCTTGAGGTCAGCAGCAGATGCCCTCCTCCGGGAACCCTCTGTGAATGAGATTAGGAGGGTGAGAACCCGGAGGAGGGCTTTCTCTGCGGTGGCGCCCCATTTATGGAATGCACTCCCCAGAGAGGTCCACCTGGCGCTGTTGTTATTTGTTTTTCGGCGCCAGGCTAAGACCTTTTTATTTAAAACTTATTTTAACTGTTAACTATTTATTAAATAGGGTTTTTTTAAGCCGAGAATGTACTGGGGGGGGGTTATTTATTGTATTATTTATTGTAATTGTATTGTAATGGGGCGGCATAGAAATGGGGTTTTAAAT